TATTTTTGCAGATTATTCTAAACTTTTAAACATACATTATGCAAGAGCTAAATCTGTCTATTGCAGGTCTTTCTTTGGGCCTGAAATGTTATCTAAATTATTAATTAGACATTAAATAACCTATCCAGGCCATAATCAACTCTAGATGGCAGCGCTAGCCTGCGATCTTTAGTGGATTGTGAGCCGATTTACTGTATAACTTTCCTTCTCGATTTAACGATTAACTGGATAATCGAGACTATGCTGTTTATTGTACTTACTTTAGTAATGATGACCGAGGCTAGGGGGAAATTTCCGACGCTTAGTTCTCGGTTCATAGTGGATCAATTTGAATGAAATTTTCAGCAAATTACCTTTTCATTATCTAGTTTTTAACTATTATAGTGAGAACTGCCACCTCGTTACCGAATCTCCCATAATGTATCTTTAATATTCAACTTATTTTTTCATAAAACTTAAAGTTTCAGCCTTTCCGTTGGCTTAAAAGTAAAATTTTTTTCACGATTTTATGTCTACATTTTTATGAACAAGACAGAAGTCTTACTTTTTTTAAATGCCTAGTATTAGTATCGAATTAAAAGAATTGTGTAAATATATATCTAATAAATAATCACTGGATATATTGATCCTATTTTATCTTGTCTCTATAATATATGCTCATTCTGTAATGTTGATACTATAATGTTAATTATTTAATGTTTAAAATTCTATAATATATATAGTATATGTTAATTCTATAATGTTATTTCTATAATATATGTCATTTCTATAATAATAATGATATTACTATTAATAATCTTTATTCACAAAAAAACCCATTAAATTTATACAGGAGAGCTCTATGCAGAGGGTGATTACCCAGGGCTCAAGGATTTGGAACCAATTTGTTTTGTGAGATGGGTTAGTACCCACAAACATCTCCACTTAAACAAAAAAATATTAGATTGATTCATTAGTCGGGCCAATCATGCTACCCTAACAATTAGATTTCTACTGTTAATGCTCTCTTAGTACCAGGTTTACCTATTATTGATGATTTGTGTCACCAATGTCATCTGTTGAATCTAAATGACATTTTTCATCTTCAATCATGGTGTTGAATCGTGTTTCCGACTCTGCGACTTTATGCTTATTGTGACGCCTTTTTGGCTCAATTACAGCATCTTTAATCATGATTAAAATCTCAAAACTGTAAAAACTCTAAATGTTTTCTTATCGTCAAACATCTATTCTTACAAACTGCATTTGGTTTTCCGAGATTGTGTTTTCGGGGTTTCAACGCCAAACCTCGTCAGACACGTCATTGTGAAAAATACATAGGGTGCTTAACTTTGAGTATATACATGATTTAAAATTCATTATAGAAATTTGTCGCCTTTAAAAATCTTAGCACTTTATTAAATAGCTTGGTACAGGCCAGATATTAATCCTCTCTGAAAACTTTATTGAGTAAAAACTAAATTTTGAGAGGCTATAGCTTGTTATTTGCAAGAACTGCGACCCATAACTAGCAATCTTCCTACGTACAAAATGTAACTGACCAGAATAAGCATCATAAATAAATTAAAAGCACCGAAAATTATATAAAAATTATAATATTTCGTTTATTCAAACCCAATGTGAAGTATATGGACATCTTTTCAAAGTGTATTGCCCCATGCTTAAAACAAATTCATAATGGTCAAATTGTAAAATAAGTCCTGTTCCGAAAAAGGGTAACCATGATGCTGTCAATGACTATAGGGATAAATGAGGGATAAATTTAGTAGGTATATTTAGCAAATTATTTTCTATAAATAATCGTTAAATTTTAACGGTAATTATTCAGATTATTTTTCATCCTTTTCTGGAGTTAAATCAGGTGATAAGCTCTCGCCCGTCTTGCATGATTTAATAGACCTACTTATATGAACAATAATGCTGTTGATCCAATTATTTATAAAATATACTATTCAAAAAAAGTAGGGGATATTTGATTTTTAAGTGTTATTAAAGTCACCTAATGAAACTGACGAAGAAACAAATGACAAAATGAAATGAAGTTCACATTCATCGATTTATTCCAAATGATCATTAGACTAAGTAAGGCACAGACTGACCATTATAAGGGTAAAATGATACCCGGGGTCAAACAGCAAAGTTACCACAGCATCACAACCAAGTCAGTAACGGGTAAATCCTCCTCTGTTTGCCAAACAAGCATTGATCCGACGTGGCATACTCCTAATGAGACGTCTAGGGTCATTTTGGTCCAGATTGTCCCATTCCTGTTGCAACGCAGCAGCAAGTTCTTGGACATTGGCAGGACGTTGTTGACGTTGACGTAACCTCTGTCCAAGCATGTCCCAGACATGCTCGATGGGGGAGAGGTCGGGACTCAGTGCTGGCCAAGGTAATGTGGTGATGTTCTGTTGTTGGAGGTAACCTGTAACGATCCTGGCCCTGTGACATCTTGCGTTGTCATCCTGGAAGATGAAACGGCGGCCATGACGTCGTGCGAACGGCACAACATGGACTGCCAAGATGTTGTCCCGGTAGTACTGGCCTGTAACACGCCCTGCAACAACATGTAAAGCCGTTCTTTCAGCAACAGTGATGCCTCCCCACACCATAACAGAACCACCCCCAAATCGATCATGTCTGATGACGTTAACGTCTTGGAAGCGCTCGTTTCGACGACACCACACCCTCCTACGTCTGTCCAAAAAATCAACAGTGAACCTTGACTCATCTGAAAACATCACATTGCTCCAGCGTCGATTATCCCAGTGTTGACGATCCCTACACCAACGACGTCTTGCCTGAATGTGATGATCTCTCAAACAAGGGATCACGCGAGGACGTCGGGCGCGAAGGTGACCCCTATGCAGTCGATTCCGAATCGTCTGGCCACTCACTCTCACACCAGTGTCTGTTTGAAGACGAGCGCTGATCTGATTTGCTGTGATGACACGATTTCTCAAGGCCAATGTACGGATAAATCGATCCTGGGCTTGAGTTGTCGCCCTTGGTCGACCTGAGCGTGGTCTGTCCTGTACAGATTGTGTATCACGGTATCTGGACCATAGCCTGCTTATGACAGACTGAGAAACATTCATCGTCCGCGCCACAACCGCCTGTGTTGTGCCGATCTGTAGCATGCCAAGGGCACGTAACCTTTCATTTTGGGTAAGCCGACGCATATCAAAATTTGTTTTCTGGTCACTAAAACAATTAAACTGATGTTTCCACCCTGGAATTCAATGCCACAATGACTGTAACATTCAAAGTCAGAGTCGTGCAAATCTTGGGTTGGACCCCCATGATGATCCCAAGCATCACCTGCATTCCATGCGGTAGCTATTGGTGCGTTTGGGCGTCACATGTAACTGGAAATGTTTCTTCTGTTAGGTTCTATAGTGACTTTTTTCGTAGTCATTTGCATATTTTAGTATTATGCCCCCAAAATCAAATATCCCCTACTTTTTTTGAATAGTATATTATATTAATTGTATAGTATGTTTCATTCTATAATTATGAGATGCAGACCACATTTACAATTGATTTCTCTCGACTGATGTCCGGATTTGAATCCGAAAGAATCTAGTTCAGAGCCCTGCACTTTTACTGCGTCCTTCAAAACAATTGTAAATGTTCTAAGAGCATCATAAACCAACATTTCTAGCTTTACAGTTGACAGTTTATATTGCATGTTGTTTTTATTACCACACATTATAACATAAACTTACTGACATTTATGAATATGGCGACAATTTTTGAAACATTCAAATTAAAGGAATGAATGAATGGAATGTGGTTTAATGACACGTTAGCTCCAACTGGGCTATATTGAGACAATTAAACAACTATCGTAAAAAGAGTTCATATACATATATGTTATTAAAACAAATATCACATCGCTGTATGTATATAAATATTAAGGTTTTAAAACGAAAAAATGATTATATACACAAAGAAAAAAAATAAGCACCCGAATATTTATTTTTCACTTGTCATATGACTTGTCATACGAAACCCTGATAATATAACCATGGAAAAACAAATGTGGTTTGCAAGACATAAAGAATTTATCATTTTTTTTTATTTTAATCACCATTATGAAAAGAGTTCCAAGATGTCGTATTTGAGCCAAAAAATATGAAGGTGCAGAGTCAAACACAATTCAACATCGTGATGGAAGATGAAAAATGTCATTTAGATTCCACAGAAGACATTAATGACACAAACCATCAATAGCGGGTAAACTCGCCACGTGCCAGGAGGACAACTTTTCTTCACTATGATGCCGTGGCGACCCTGCCTTGGCTGCAATAGGTCCCGACCATAATCCGTTAGAGCATGTTTGGGATTGAACCCACGTGTACATACTCTGACGCAATTGGAGGCATTTCTTCATCGAATTAGCAGCAGTGGAACATTGAGCAGAGCAGACGACTTAATAGAGGAATCAGACGACGAGTGGAAGCTGTCATGCGGGCATGTGGTTTACCGACTATATTGATGATCTGTGTCATCAATTTCAACTGTGTAATCTAAATGCCATTTTTCATCTTCAATCACGATGCTGAATTGTGTTTTCGACTCTGCGCCTTTATACTTATTGTGACGCCTTTTTTGGCTCAAATACAACATCTTGGAATCATTTTCAAAATCATGATTAAAATCTCAAAACTGGAAAAACTCTAAATGTTTTCTTATCGCCAGACATCTATTCTTACAAACCGCATTTGGTTTTCCGAGACAATGTTTTGGGTTTTCAACGCCAAACCTCGTAAGACACGTCATTGTGAAAAATACATAGGGTGCTTAACTTATTTCTTTGTGTATATACATGATTTAAAATTCATTATAAAAATGTGTCTCCATTAAAAATCTTAGCACTTTATTAAATAGCTTTGGGACATAAGAGAGCTATAACCTGCCTTTGACTCGTCTCGTGTCTTAGGGGTTCTGACCGACAGAAATGACGACTTAAGGTATAAACAAAAACAACAAAAACATAAAAAATGAAATGTATTCAAAATATATTTTATAACGGACAATCACGTCGCCACATACAGGCAGTTTTACCCGCCGGCCATTTAAAATAACCAGTATTTCCTGGACAAGCAAGATGGTAGCGAGTGTACTTCCGGCCTGTTATCACACACAGGTAAAAATTATGACAGTTATCTGGGTCTGGGAATACACCATCTATAGGACACGTTGTATCATCAGTAGTGACACCTACGAAAGCCCCAAAATCAACTGAAAAGAGAAGTAAACGAGGTTTAAGAAATCAGCTTGTAACAAGTGTGGAAGTATAAATAAAATATAAAATGTGGTACCACCGATCCTAAAGATATGTAAGAACACAGATGTATAATAATCCGTCAGGTGAACAGGTGGAAAAGAGTAAGTTTATCTTGCGTTATGCACGATGGTTGCCACTATTCTTTTAACACTTCGACCAATAAATAACATGGACAATAAATGTTAAACGCAATACTACGTATCGACAGGTATTATAAGTTTTACCTGGTTCATAAAATATACATAATATAGAGATATGTACATTAAATATATGTACGTTATTTCTATAATTGTATGCACTTTTTTCATTTTCAATATAAAACTGACACATGTGTTCGCTCTATGAGGTCTCCTAATATAATACTTTTTATTTCATAAATAACATGAATAAATATCCTTAAATGATATTTAGAAGTAGAGGTACAGTATTCATGACATTGATTGTGTGATCATAATGAGTTATGTTGGTAGCTTCGGTCCCAAATCAATCTGCATCAGTTTGAGAAATAGTGAAGTCATATTCGAAGGAAAGTGATTGTTGTTATTATCTCTTGAATATTTTGACGCGTTGACTGTTATAATTCGTTTTTTTCGTGGATGCGCTATATTCATCATTGCTTGATATTATAAAGATACCCGCGACAGTATTGGACCGTTACATGTAATAGACTAAGGAATAGTAAATCCATAATACTGGGCATTTAATTGTCATAGGGGTGGACATTGTCATCCGGGGCACATGTACTGTGTGTAATTTGTCCCGAGATCACTTGTCCAGGTGTGAGGTGGGCATTTCCCCCCGGGGCACTTTACCTAGGAAGGGAGGGAGGGGGGTGAACGGTTGTCCTGACGGCGATTGTAAGGATAAGTGTTTGTATTAGTAGATAGAGGTGTGTTCAGGCGGCGCGGGGGGGGGGGGGCTTTCCTTGGAAGTGGACGTTTGTCCCAGGGGTATTAGGGCCGGCGGTTGTCCTAGAGGATGGACATTTGTCACTAGGGCTTGAGTGTTATCCCTTGATCGGTTGCCCCGGTTGATTTTCCTGTACCCATTATTCTGCGTTGGTGATTTTTTCGTAGATTTTTGTATGAGACAATAAATCAAATCTAATGCCATCAATTCTCCCCCCAAAATATGACAGTTATAAACATAGCTACTATTATCTAGAGTTAGAAAAAAAATGACTAATATTAAACATAAATAAACTGACAGATAGAAACTGCTTATGGCAGACATAATGGTTTACTGTTAGATTTTTTATTTTATCTTTAAACAGATGAATCACTTTCAAAAAGGCAATAAATGTGATTTATATGGTTCATGCGATAATGAACCCTATATATTATCCGCGTTAAGTGACAATCCGTTCCACAGTTTGGCCTTCTCTTACAACTTTTCAGTAACCCCTGTGACAGCCATAGAGTCTGCCATTAAGGGAAGTCGTACAAGAAGGAGTACGAATATAAGATTAATTAGTTAGCATATATAATGTTATTTATACCTGACATACAACACATATTAAATGTTTATGAGTTAGGTGTGCGTTATAGTAGGCTCGTGTTACATTTTAAGAATATGTTAGGGCACTGCCCTTAGTTGGACTTAAATCAAAACATTTTTAGCTCCCTGTTTTATTTGTTTTCCCAACAGTGGGGTCCGACAGGTGTAATTTAAATAACCACGAAGGATTTGTCAATTTATATATAGGCTATATGTCTGATATAGGTCACACTTTACGCAAAGTGTTCAAAGGAATATGGAAGATAAGGTATAGTGGCTGTAAACAAATAGTTTTGTTAAAACATTTTTGGTCGATGTTAGCCGATATCACCAAGACCCCTGACATGACTTACCACCATTTGATACAATCTGCGTCGTTTTCCATATAGTTCCGTTAAGTTTGGAATAAGAACTTAATTGTATCATTAAAAGCTACTTAACTCATAAAACAGATAGGGGTTATCTAGTTTAAACAAAAGCAATATAGGCCTGCCGTTTGGGAATTAAAAATCAGGTTAATCGAATAGATATGTAGTAAGCTACAACATAATGCTTGATGAGGCGTTTGTTTCCGCGGGTCCGGCGAGTTGACATTCCAAGAAAACCAGTCAGATATATATTTTGAAATCATTCTAGCAATAAATTGACAGCAATCAGAATGTTAGTGAACTTATTAGTAGCAAGCAATCGCTGTGACCAGCACCGATTATGCATATTGCATACTGCTTTCTTGCTTCAGTAAACCGAAACTATGAAGTTATCTGGACGCCACAGCGTAGCACGATTGGGTTGTACCATAAAATAAAGAGTGTACCTGATCCTGATCTAACTGCAGCAGCTGGTTGATTTATAGTTGGTTTTCTTTGTGGTGGCAATACTACTCCTCCGGGTCCATCTTCAGGACGCTGAGATCTAAAGTTCAGAGTCGGAAGAGGAACTGTTGAAGGTTTGATTATCTTATTAATGGTATTCAAAAGAGGGTAGAGTCCTTCGCCACAACTTCCGGTAAAATCGTCCATCTCGACGGACCAGACAAATGCTCCCCCTAATCCTTGTTGCACAATATACCTGGCCTGAAAAAAGTTTTAATGGATTTATAGTTTGTATTGGTGTAGTGCTGTAATGCATTGCAAATTTGTGTAACGCTCAGTGGTCCTATTGTATTTAATGTAACTAAAGACATCTACACATCATAATGAACAGGTTTAGTACATTTCTCAGTGGATTACACCACGCTTGGCATCATGAAAAATACACTTACCCAATTTCAAACATATTTCATCATTCACAGACAATCATCTGTAAAATATTTGCGACTTGTGTCCTTGCCGATAAAAAAAAGAACATTCACCATTATTATTATATATCCCACCCATACTTGTAGTATCGTTACATTCCACCTAGCTATAGTGTTCTCACCTTTATAGCGATACTTTTAGTATCATCATATCCAACCCATTGATCTCCACCGTAAGCATATGGTGATTGTTGTTCTGGTATCCAGACTGATCTCCAACCTTTATATCTTAGATTCTCACAAATCTGTATTTTGTACATAATTAAAAATTTAATTTGAGCTCATTTATAACTAATTTAGATAAAATTGGCCTTAAAGGGACTATACCGTTTTCAAGAGAGTCTCAAAAATAAAAGTCGGAGTACGTATAAAATTTTAGCGTCAAAATATAGAGGAATGGTGTATTTACCTTCTCTCAAATTTCCAGCTCAAAATATAGAGAAATGGTGTATTTACCTTCTCTCAAATTTCCAGCTGAAAATATTGAGTCGTTTGGATGTGAACGTCAAAACTGCTTATCCGGACACGTAACCCTTTTAAGATTTCGGGTCAGTTTTTTCGTTGGGTGACCTGGTAATCGATTCCCGTTCCTCGAGAGGTCTACATAGTGGATGACCCATGTGCTCTACTTGATAACGAAAGGTAAATTTCACCTACACATTTTTTTTATAAAATAAAAGTCTGGTTTTATTAAGACACCGCATAATGCAGCTTGGGACACCGGTTTCCATTTCCAGATGAAGACTGACGGGTTTAAGTTGTTTGAAAACTTATCACGAATATTGAGTTAGTTGCTCGACCCTTAGCTAGAGGATTTTAAGGGATTTTAACCCAAAATTAAGCAGTTTTATTCTCCCAAAAATATCGGGATCAGCCCTTTAACACCACGTGGTCTTCTTTTCTTGAAATGTGTACCCAAATTTACTATACTCTGCATTACATGAAGTGCCAGGGCCCATTAGTTATCAGTTGATGTTGTTCCGATATTTTTTTGAGAACAGTGTTACATTTTAATTTTTTAGTTTAGATCATCAGCACACAGGTGATCCACATATTATCGTATTATTAGAAAAGGAGACTATGGTCGATACTTAATTGTTTTAACGAATTTTCACTTTTTGTTATCTTATGCAATACAAATATCACGGAATTAAATCGTAAGTGGTAATAAGCAAAGAAAACTAAATGTCCTTACCTCAAAGTAAGCGAGGATTCCCTTTTCTCCTGTATAACTACCAGGACGCCCACCAGATGAGGCAGGTGACCCCAATCCATTTATTGCTGAGTTCTTCAAGGTATAACTCATGCCATATGTACCCAGACCAACAATAAGTCTTTCTTTAGGCATACCTTGTCCTAACCAGTAGTTTATAGACCAGATCTATAAATAAAGGCATGGGAAATAATCCTCGAGGCAACGGTTAACGTTTCAACATTAACCGATGTGGTCACTTCTAATTTCATACCCAATGAATGTGGTCACCACCGTAATCCTGTGATCAAGACATTCTTGTTTATTGGGTCCTATATATACATTTAACAAACCATCTTTTTAATTCTTGGTATTTGTAACAGCCATCCGTTCTGTTGGGTTTTATTGGCTAGTGGACTATCGGAAATTAAATTAACTAAAAAATTCAAGGGTTCGATTTAGAGAGTTCAAATAACCCGTGTATTTGGAATGATAAACTAAATGACCACGATAATCGGGAATGGATTTCATAGTTAAACATAGTATTATTGTAGTGCCGGGAAGGAATTGACGTCATGGGTTTATTGTAAACCATAAATTGTATACTTCACGCCCTTCGGAACAAATTTGATAATGAAGAGGGGGGTGTCAGGATAATGAACCAAAATAGGATACCAGACAATTCTGAAGCTAGTGAACACATACATTTGCAAATTATTGTGGAATCTTCAGAAACCCCTTTACAATCTTCAGAGTCGACCAAATCCGACATGCAAGAGGCGTAATGGGGCGTACTAAGAGTGTGTGCAGAACACCTTTAAATTTCACCATCTCGATTTGTAGTTCGTCAATACATATCAATTCACTCTCTTTCCATTTCTCTCCCTTGTCAGTGATGCAGGATGGAGGGGCTGACAAGGAAAGCTGTCTAGTCGTTCGGATGGGACGAAAAACCGAGGTCCCGTGTACACATTGGCGTGCACGTAAAAGATCCCTTGGCAGTTGGAATTCGATATAAGAGTAGGCCGTAGTGCCGCTGCCCGGGCAAAATTTCCCTCATAGCACACTGTATGGCGTATGCCCGTCTTCATTAGCCCAGGTTAGGAGCAGAACAGTAGGACGTTAAACCCCATTTTATTTCATTTCATTTCATTTCTTTCCATTTCACCCCTTTGCAAGCAAGAGAGTTTAAATTAATATTTTCTGCCAGGTTTTGGGTAAATATTCATGGGTTAGAGGCGGAAGGGTTGGTTACGGTGATATGTACGGCGGATAGTTACATGTATTACGCATGCTTCTTGTTTTTGGATGAGTCAACTGGCGTGGTTTCCACTCCCCGGTCGTACGTGAAAAGGAGTAGGGTCGCCTTTCCAACCCCGTGGGTTTTCTCCGGGTCCTCCAGTTTCCTTCCATTGCTATTGAAATAAAATTGAACCATAATCTGGTAATCCCGAAATGACCTAGTTAGAGTAGAATGCAGAATAATGAGAGTTATCTCACCTGATTAAGTTCTCGTTTTTTACCCTTGTCTATATTACTAGAATATAAACTACTGTGGTGACCAGTTGTATTCTCCCATTGACCATGGTAATTATATGCCATTAATAACATATAATCTACAGACCTGAAAAACAAGTATCAACTCATGGAATCAAATGGAAGTGTCTTTAGCCACATTCCCGTACTGATTTACATAATATTGTTATATGTCCAATGAGAGGGAGGAGGAAGCTTGCAGAGGCCCTTCGGCCCTCGTATTCTTAATCGATGTTTAACGGTCAAGTTTTCTATCATTCCACGTCGATGTTTCCGTCCCATCCAAACGACTTCCCCACGGGAGCCATTTCCGGAAGCGGTTCACGGTACACGCGGGATTAGAACTCGAGAAAATCTGATCCAGAATGCGGTGTCCTGGCCGCTCGACTAATTCTACCATAATAAAACTCATATTACAGGTTTCATATAAGGGTATATAGAAGACTAGGCTTTAGTATATCTTTTCAGTTCGAAACGCAATCTAGAAATAAAATAATATTTTGATGAATCTGTATTATACAGATTTAAATCCCCAACTTTCCAAGTATTATGAACATGAATGGTGTAAACAGTAGGCCACTGGTTCAACGAAACGTGCTGATAGTTTATTTATTTCATTCTAAATTGCCGTAGACTATGGGACTATTGTCATCACAATATAAAATGTTCTTCGCCTCAGAAAGCGGATCACACTTACTGCCGCGTTTGGAGGTGGCAGTTGGGGGGGGGGGGGGGTGAATTTCTTTGCCAATGACAACAACTAGTTTTCACGATTTGTAGTTCAACTGTTTATAGCAGCCCCCCCCCCCCCTTCGCCCCCTTTGCAGATCAAATTTGATCTCATAAGGAAGAAGAGGCTTTGAATTAAACTTGACAATTTTAAGTCTGTCTTCGTGTAGTGAAAAGCTCAACGGAAATGTGGTTAAAAGTTGGCACCAGACAAAAAGATGTGAATCAACAATGAAGTCAATAGCGAAATTAATTGTGGTCTGTCTTCATTGGTTATTGGAGTTGTCTCCCGTTTCATAAATATTGGAACGTAACAACGCAAATACACAATCCAGAGGGTGATATTTTTAACGTGTATCTTCTTGTCATAATACATGGGGTATATCCGTCTTTAATAGCCCGGTGGTGTAGAACAGTACGTCCTTAAACACCGTTTAAAGTGCATGCGCAATACAATTCGACCACCTACCACGACCCTCCCCAATAGGGGCTTTAAAGTACTCCTTCCATCATTTGTTGTTACTTTTCTTATGAACCCGATTGGTAAGCTTGTTGGGTCACTATTTGACTAATATGGATAAGACACAATTCACTTACTTGATAATTTCTTTAGGTTCATAAGATGCAGCAATGTAGTGACTCCCAGCTGCTGTTGCTAGTGTTAATAACAACTTCTCTTTTCCGCTCTTCCATGCCTCTTCCTGAAAAGCTCTTTGTAACATCTGAAGAAAACCGTCATGATTATAAGAGAGATTGCACATGTTATAAAGCACATATCGTAACAGAATGTTGGTTTAAAAAGTACATTTCCCCAAATGTTGATAGATTTAGGTGCCTATAGCACAAAAGTTAGATACATGTAATTCAACCAGCAAACCCTTAAGGCAAATTTATAAATTTAGACTTTATTGATTTTCGAGTATGGTAATTAGACAGCAATGTAAGGGAAGTAAGCGTCACTTACCCTCATTAAACTAGAAAACTTAAATTTATCTCCCGCTCCACTTCCTCGTACTCCGGGAAATTCCCAATCCATGTCTAAACCATCAAAATCATACTTCCTCAGATAGCTAACAACGTTCTGTACCCAGATACTTCTAGAGTTCTGATCTTTGACCACATCAATAAACGGAGCAGATCCCATGACCCATCCCCCGACAGCAATAAGTACTTTTAATCCTGGTCGTTTCTGTTTTAAATTGGTTGTTCCAGCGTATAAGCCTGAAATAAAGTATGTGCTTATTAATAAGGCCCAATATGCATTAGTATAATACGAGCTGGATTCGCAGGCTATTGAAATTTATGAACCGGGTTAAAGTGGTACTGAGTTTTAAATACATGTAAAACCATATATAAAATATTTATATTCAAACTTATTATCAAAAACACTGGCCTTTTCAGAATGAGGTATTTATCACGGCCGTTCCTCATATGCCTTAAAGAGCACGAACAGATTTGTGGGAATTAGAACCTGCTTGAACCTGTTAAGGCTGCCAGAGCTAATGTGTTGATGCTTCTTTAAACCAAATTTAATTAAATTGAGGTTCCAACCAAAAATACAACCAAACAAGTTTCACTTTCAGCTATGTTAACTCATCTAATCAGAACTGTTTCAGGTGTTCTAGAAATAGTAAGTATCGGCCTTTTTTGCACTTGACATTACGTAAAGAGTAACCCAAGGCCAAAGGTCACATTCCATATAACTTAAATACAAATTTAAATATGCGACAGGTATTATATTGAAAACATATTAATTATTAAATAAAATGCAAATAGTATTATAACTTACCATTACTTCCATAATCATTCCAGTTCATTTTACCTAGATCGAGGCCAGTGACATTGGCGAAGGCGAATATTATATGTGTACATTGTTTAGGGTCGATATTACTAGGAACAAATTTACCAATACCTCGTCTGTACTGGGATTCACTGCTATAATAACAGAAGGATTTCCTCTGACCTACACAAAATATAAAACAGCTTACAAACATTCATAAAAAAAAAATCAGTGCTTTAAACCAGTAGTAAAGACTGTCCGTGTTTTCATTAAAGACTCATGTCAACCAAAATTTCCTCAACACAAAGTAGTAATTTTCAACTCACTGGACAATTATATTAAACAAAATTATGATTATATTCGCAGTCTTCAAATTAGCTCTGTTTATAAAAATGTTAAATTATTGCCAATAGGTAAAAATTCAGAAAATAACATTGGTAAGACCTGTACAGTGTGCCAACCAGGAAAGAATGAATTTTTGTAATTTGCGTACGTTTCTATTGTCCATTTATGAATAATAATAATGATGATGATGATGATTAAACATAGTTACCTGTTACATAACAGAAACATGACGAGACGAGTAATATTCCAAGGTATTTATGCAGGGCTATCATCTTTTCTTGGTCTTCTATAAAATATGAAAATAACCATGGTAATATAACCAATCCTTGTTGGACTCCTTATAGTATAGTCAAATTATTCAAAGTCAATATAGTGTACAAAAATAAAACGTGAGAAGACGACGATAATTGGAACGTTAACAAACTTCACAACCCGAAGAAAACATACATTCACTATGCAAATAAAAATGCGGACATACTGCGAAAATCTTTAAAGTTGATTCTCGGAATTAACTTTAAAGTGGATGAGCATTATTAAAATGAAAATGTCTCTTTGATTTAAATAGACTTAAGTATGCATAGGAAGAGTGGATTTGCTTTCTCAAGTGTGTATTTCTTTACATTTAAAACCTTAGGTCCACATAACGAACCAATACTTAAGTTTGTGTGTCCAGCTGTAGATAGGTCCACCACCCTCCCCCACAAAAATGAAGTTAATAATCAAACTGACTTCCGATTAATATTCCATACCGATCCCATTTATCACTTTGTTTTAACTTAAAGACATTTAACCACTTTATATTTTGCGAGGAAAAGAAAAATATTCATCCTTATATTACAGTGAAGTAAGGTTGATTTTAAAGGAATTTGTTTACTAAATTGTTTATTAGGTATTACAAGCATATCCTTTCCCGTGCACAACACTCGTCACAGTTTATACTGGTTTGTTATTTTATTTATTGTAGGCTTACAGTAACTTTCAGACCATTAATAATAAATTGCTCCGCCATAACATTTTCAGCTTAAATAGGGTTTGATGAACTAATTAGCATAGGGACGTGGGTCATTCAAGGCACCCAGGCCGTTTCGCGATAATGCCAAATATTTATTAAATATGATTATAAGTAGAAACTCCGATTGATAACTTTTTATTAGTGTTACTAATCATATTGTAGTCCGTTTTTTTTTCCATCAACTGAAAAATGTTTTTGAAATTTAAGCTATAAAATCACGAATCGAATATATTTCGGCAAACCTCATCCAAGAATGATTTTATATTCAATTTTGTTTCGTTTTTTATTTTGTTAAATAACTTATTTTATTTAAGGAAGATATATACATCATGTGATACTATTGAACAATTGCATTGCCTGCAATATTATACGGGGCTTATTACAATTTTGAAAGCTAAGTGCCATGTAAGTGTAATTCTAGAGGTTTTGAGTTTTTGTATGACTGGCTAGCTGATAAAGTCCCCGTCAGACCGGGGTGGCGTCCTTACTGCGCTGCTGCGACCGTACGGCGACCAGAAAATGCACAAGGTCACCGGCGAACGTGAACACAACGCGAGAAAATGTTCCCCCAAAATTACAAACTTGAAAAAAGTCGCGTTCTTACCGCGACTGGTGCGATTATACCGCGTTCTCACGCCGCGCTAGTCACGACCTCTGCCGCGCTTATGGTATTTCTATTGGGATCTATTGGCTTGGTAAAGGCGACCATCGTCGAACCCGCGGCACTCTAACCACGTTCATGGGGTTCTTACCACACGTCTTCTACGTGTATCGCGACTGCACGTGCGTTTTTACAACGTTATCACAGCGACTATATAAGCTGGTGATTTTTTTGAAAATTTTACGATGACGACATACACACTGATGTATGAACTTTGAATCACCTGTTTTATAGCAAGTCGTTCATGAAAAACATGGTCGCCATAGGAACGTAATGCAAGCTTGGTAACCGCGCCATGGTCATACTAAGAACTCCATAAACGCAGTGGGAACCCCATAAGATCACCATGAGGACAACAGTGGTGAAATCATCGTTACATCGCCATGACAACACCGTAAGGACTTCGAACGCTTAGCGGGTTTGTGGCAGACACGGGAGGGTCGTGGTGAAGACGCCATGAAGTGCCAATTGCAAATGTTACAATTTTCACAGCGTCTTTGCCACGTGTGTACTGCGCGTGTACTAGGTTCATGGAGATGTTACCACGCTTGTCTCCCGACCATCGCGAACCCGCAATGTTCTCACAGCTTTTCCAGATCAGATCGCAGAACCTTTGCGTTTGTTTTGAACATGCTCAAAACATGGCTTTGGTAGAACGTTGGTTAATCTAAAACTTAAAGGGATTGTAATCTAATTCTAAAAAGATTGACCCAGCAAGATAAAATGTATTACCTTAAATGTCAATATATATTTGAAGTTATATTAAGTATATAAGTAAATATAGATGTTGGGTTAGTATATATATGGCCAAGGTGCGACCAACCTTGCACATCCTAGTAGCGCCATAGTTTACACATAGGGGTAAACCATTTTATTTTAGCATTTCAAGACATAGGAGTAAACCATTTTATTTCAGCATTTCAAGACATACTGATAACCCTATAAACAATTTTATAACCCCTTTCTGATTAATATATCGGGCTGCAATTTTTGAGGCCATTCAATTTTATATTTCATATTGAATCTTGGGTTGATGAATTTTACATAATAAATAATAAATAAAAAGAGTGGATTTTGTTTCAATTTAGGGTTTCCTAAATATTGTATATGAAATAGTTATGGTTCATGTCACGAATATCATAAACATTTAGCGTTTCCATAATTTATTTCTTCATAAAGATGCAATGCATTAACGCTTTTGAGATCTACGGCAATGCGGTTAAATTGGAGGTGTTTGAATTCCATTAAAAGTCGTAAACGTTATAGCCAAATGCTGTTTGTATGGATGGATCTAATTTTAGTGGTTAAATTTGCGAAAAGTGGGTGAATAAGATTCTATATATTTGCTTGTTGAATGAAGCACGAGCGCCTTTGTCTCAGGATATGACCATAATCAACTCTCGACGGCATCGGATACTCGAGATTTTAACTAGATTAGAACGGATCGCGATTTAAAAATTTAATTTAAAAATGGGAAAGCGAGGCTAAGTCTCGAATATACCAGTGCTCTGGTTACAACTATGCACACATCTTGTCAAAACTACAAATAGTGATAACTTGGCTCAGAATGAAGTAATTTGAATGAAATTTTCAATATTTTCATTTTACCTTATCTTTCTTGAGCTATTATAGCATTAATTGTCATCTCTTTATCTAATCTTACATAATGTATCTTTAATTAAAACTAATGTTTATGTACTTACCTATAGTAACATACGTGTTATTATAGTAGTTTCGTGCACGAGCTGGAGTATGTTTACTCTCGAAACACCTGATACTACTTTACAATGGAAACACAAGTTGCGTGGTGAAGTCCGCGTACTAGCGTGCTATTAAAATATTTCGTCATTTTCTTTTAAAATTTTGGCCTTTTGAATATTTAGAATCCACCCTACTATATTTTATTCGTGAACCTATTCCCCAGAGTTAAATTATGCAGAAAAAAAAATATCTTACCTCTCAACTCCTAGTCCAGTAGAGTACAAATGGCAACCCAAACCGAAAGCTTTCGGGTTTTTTTACACCCGTGATTTATTTCCCCTACCCTAATCTGTTTATAAAAACCCACTATAATTCTATGTAATTGTTTGGAAAGTCTGGGGTACTTGGCGTCTAGTTGTTATCTCTCCTCATACTATAGGCTTAATTACTTCGGCCAAAATGTGTCAATTGTTGCGCCCTTGTTTGAAACCTTTGCTTGCTCACGATTTGCTTGTCCGGAGATATCTTCATGTAGGTTACCAGTGCATGTTTGTTGGCCATCGTAAGATCATGAGAAATAACTAGCTATTAGTCTACATTACATAATCCTATTGAAATCGTTTTGGCATCCATATTTCGTGTACGATAAGACGAATGAATTTATTTGGTCTTGTAAGATTCAGCGTTTTTTGCTCTTTTTGGCATGAAAAATGTTCATTTTTTGTATTGTGATGATTTTGTACATACTGCATGTATTGTTATGTTATTCAAACTGTATGTTTATCACATATCTTAACAAATAATCAAACTCTAGCTACTGTGTGTTCCTGTAAAGTGGGGCTTATATCGACTTTGCATTCCAAAGCAACTAATTGCAATCAGTTGCAAGTGTGATTATGTCGATTATATCAGCAACTGAGAGCAACTGAATTTGGAGCGCTTACGTCAACTCGGAACTGATAGCGATTACACTTAACACGTGATCGACAAAATGGCGAATAACTTAGAAGAAACGCCCCAAAGGCATGGCCGGTCTTGCCAGAATTCTGTTATTATATTATTGTCAACATCATCAACATTTGAAAAGTGGGTGTCTTCGTTCGCTTCCATGTGATGTTATTTTCATAGAAACAAGTTGAACATATGCAACAGACTGCAACTAGATGCAGTGAGTTGTAAGAGGTGCTCAGGACGACCTTTTTCAGTTATATTCCGTTGCTTTCAGTTGTTTTCAGTTGCCAGGTCGACATAAGCCCCCCGCCCCCTCCCCCTTAAGGGTAAAAAAGCATACACCATCTATCAAACGACCCCGACTGATGCCGTTATGTTACATGGCAAGTCATTAAAAACGTAACAAGACCAAGACCAAACAGTACATTAGCTTGAACCAAACAGTACTTAAGAAGACTAGATCAGGCAGTACATATATGCTGGTCCAAACAGCACATGACCCTCTTGTACGTTTGGACGCATAAAATGCAAGTAAGGAATTACAACAATCGTATTATGAACTGTAGTATTAAATTACTTTGCCACTGTGGGCATATGAACTTTCAATCGGAATACAATTTAGGATTGATAGTACAATAGTTTAGGCCATACAACATCCGATATTACTTTGCCACTGTGGGCATATGAACTTTCAATCGGAATACAATTTAGGATTGATAGTACAATAGTTTAGGCCATACAACATCCGATATACAAGAACCTGGCTTATACCGCTATATGATTCCTCATTTGGGGTAAACTATATAGTCGAATTCATGCTCCATATCCTAACATAAAATTGGGATAAATAAATTACAATAAACAACAAGCAAATACGTAAAATAAAATAAAACCATAACCAAATGCGAAAAGATAGAATAAATCTTAGAAGACAAAGAAAGGAAATAGTGTCCCCTTTTCAAGACCATACGTAGTGAAAATGCAAAAAAGTCAAATAAAAGAGTACGACAATCCAGACCCATCAGATCGACCCCTAAATATCTCTTACATGGTGGCAT